TAATTTACATGTATACTATTCTTCTGAACAACACATCTGCAGTTGTGATCATTACTTGGTGGATTCAAGTTTATTCAAACTATGGCTCCATACTTTACAGTTTACAGTAAGAAGAAGGCAATTTTGTGAGCATTTTGGCCCAGGGATCTTGGTTTTAATAACTGCCTTAGATGTAACTCAGACACCTGATTATATTACATTTCTCTTCTGCCTTCTTTTATGATTAAAAAAAAGAACTATGCAAGTCAATATATAGGGTCAAGTGTCTAAGGGATATGTGAACATAAGGTCTGCTTACATCAGTCCAAAAATCCCCAGGGAAATGAAGAAGAATTGATCTGTTCATTTCTTGCAATTTACTTTTTCTATTTTTGCTTATTGGAAGCCACCAGAGACATTACAATGTATGCATTGTGGTCCAAGAGCAGAGTTAATTACTTGCAAGATCATATTCAGAACAATTAAATTAACAGCAAATTATTAAATTACTGTTGACTTGACTGGTGAGAGGCCTAAATGATGTAAAAATTGGCTATCTGTGGATTTATATGGTCATTATTGAGTGTTAGAATTGAGCATATGGCACAGTAGTGGTGCAGCGTGTGCAGATGTTCACTTCACGGAGATAAGAAAAGTGGTCTGCATCAGTCATTCAAAACTTGATTTATGTATGTAGTCTGTTTTTATAACATTGCATCAGTGTACACATGCTTTTAATCAACATTTGATTTCATAAGATATGTTCATGGAGATTTAAGCTCTAGCTTTGACCATTGTTGAGGAAAATGGCCAAACACCCAAACAATATCTTTTGGTCAATTGTCAGTGCTATAATTATATATAAACTAAAATCAAGGCCCTGAAATAAAAAGACTTAATGAACTAGGCATTGAGGTAGAGTGTAGTTTGCTTAATTTGAAACCTTTCTACTCCAGAATCCTGCATTTCCAGATTGTGTAGAGTCTGAAACCTTAGTAATAACTCCACTATGCAAATGGAGCTTTATGCTTGGATTTTTATTGCAGTCTTTCACAGAGGTCTCTGATTACATGTTTTATTCCATCATTTGAGATAAAAGTATCTTGTTTTATGGCACATTACATTATCTTTAGAGAGTTCTTTTTTTTTATTACCCATAGATTTGTGTACCATAATCTCTAGACTACAGTGCCTCTTCATGAACATCTCTTAGTTAATTATTGGTTAATACAAATGTGGATTTAACCAAAATTAATATAAAACTTTGAAAATTAAGACCTATATGTAACATCAGTATACTATATTTCTGGGAAGTGGCTGTTTAAGTGCAGGTGACTTCATAGCTTTTGAGATAGGATCCTGTGCTGCATGATCTCGAGCATTTTGAAGTGATGCAAGAAATTATCGTCTAGCAGTAACTAGATGGGTCTGGAAAATTGATTATAAAAGTGAGAAAGTTTGAGGAGAAAGTAATTGTTTTCTTGACATTATTATCATATCATGGACTCCAAAAATGAACTATCATATGATTACTGTTTATCTGAAAACAGAAGGATATGGATGATCCATAGAAAAACATTAAAAGTCAAAGTTTTTATTATTTAGTTGTTGAAAATCACTGATATGAAGTGAGGTTCTTTCATGATAAACTAAGAATTAAGAAAATCAGTGACAACTTGTGAGAATGCCAGAATGCAAATGAAATAGAATGAGTCTCTCTCTCTCTCTCTCTCTCTCTCTCTCTCTCCATTTGTTTCCCTCTCTAAATTACTTCATATACTTAATATATACAATTACACTGAGACACATAAACTCAGTGAACTGTGATGGATGTTTGTCCTTCAATCTACATTTTCCCCATTAATATCAGTAATGGACTGACCATATGACTCAGGGATGGTCAGACCAAACCAATAATGAGTGTTAGTGCTCTAATAACAACATTCCTTATTGGGGAAGTTGTGAGTGATCCCACAGGGGGAGAGGCTGCATTATTGGTTGAATATATATGTACAGTCAATTTGTATAGAAATATCCTGTAGCTCTGTCCCCATTACTAGCTCGGTGTCCACAGAAAATAAACAAGGGAGAGGGAAGACACTTTTGACATTTGTTTTTCTTCTTTTATTATTTGAAATCATCCTTATTTTTGTCTGTTTTTTTATGAGGACAAGACAGTGCTTTTTGCATGTTTACTGAGCTTACTACATATAATTGCCTCTGAGTCAATCAAAAAATTATTCACTCCTCAACAAATGAAAAGCGTAGGATGTGACATTATAATTGGTGAAAGAATCTATTAGGTAGGCATTATTCCACTAAAGTACATCCATAAATATTAGTTAATGTATTTTTGTTGTTTTGGGGAGGGGAGAGATATTCTTGATTTTTTTTCCCCAATGTAAAATTGTACTTAATAATAAAAAATAAAATATCATAAATTATAAAGCATCGCATTCCAAACAATCCATGACATAATTCACAAAAAGACCTGGTTTGGAGTCAGACTCTTTTAATTTAATAAATTCAACACAACTCTACCTTTTAACCCTTTTTAAAGAGGCCAAATGATGAATTATTATTGTCTGATGCAAATTTGCAGCTTTTCATCGACTCCACTTTGAAGTCTATTTTTGATAGCTCAAAAATAAAAAGGATTTGGCATGGGTTTTTTTTTTATTCTGATGAGTTTCAAGTGGAGTATAAGTTAAAAAAAGCTTTAGCAGGAAGTTATATTTGGTTTAATGATGTAGATGTTTTGTTGTGTTTTGAGTCCTACTGTTTCCAGTCTTAAATGCCTTGTCAATCAAAAAAATCATCTCTCAAAAGTCTGAGGATAAAAACTTTGAGAAGTCTGAAGACTGAACTGTAGAAGTAATGCATTATTAAATGAAATCAATTTAACGGGCCAGACAACATGATATTCTAATTGTCCTAGTTCCTGTACAATTTAGGACTCGGTAATTAATGGAAACAACTTCAGAGGTATATGAAGCTAAAATGAAATATAAATTATTGACAGAAGTTTTACCAATATTACATCTCCATTCCTATCAAAGTCACTCATGAAACAATTCTCTGATGGAATGTTATGGTAATTGATTGTTTTCCATAATAATAAAAAGCGAATTTCTAATGAGAGTGTTTTTTGGCTATTCTACAATGTAAAAATTCACTTAATGCAAACATTGATAAGATTCTCATAAAATATATTTCATTGGGGCGTATCACAATTTGAAGTTTGGCAGGTGTTTGAGAAGATTAAAAGTATATGAATGCTGAAAGGGCAATAACCTGCATGAGGAACATATTTCAGATAAATACATGTATACCTAATATTAAGATTTGATGTATATTGGCTGTTTCTATAGAGTTCATAGTTTTCTGAGAGACAGGTCAGTTTCATGTTCAGGAGATTAATGGTCAAAAAACTAAAAAAAACAAAGGTAGGATGAAAAAAGCTTGCAAATGATCAGTATGAAACTTTATATAAACATTGTAAATGTATCAAATGATCGACAGCTAGTAAACGTATAATGGCACAATCTATTTGCATGTAGGAATATATTATATTACAGGTACCTGAAACATCACTAGTTTTAACTTTTCCTTTTGAAAATAATTTTAAAAACATTCTACTGGACAAAATTCATCTTTAAAGGTTATTTATAGAAAAATAAAGTTAACCCTGAGCTTTTGAGGAATGTAAAATCTGCACTTGTGTAAAAATCAGCTCTTTTGCAACCAAAAAAAATTTACATCTAAATTTTTGTAGAACAGAAAAATCCACTCTGAGCAACACCTATTAATATATGGATACATTTAGTTATTATACCATTTTTTTTTTAAATGAAGATAAATAATTTCATCATTGTCTTCATATTGTGAAGTGTAGAAATTCGACCAATCCCTTTATATTTTGCATTGTAGTTGTAGTAATTGTACCTTTCTCTTTTACCGTAAATAGATGCTGAAGTGTTGTAATCAACCCATTCTCTTCTAACATCGAAGTGAAGTAATAATGATAAAATCCTCTTCAAATATTGAAAAACTTTCAATGGAACTAAAAAATAAAGCCTAAAAATCTTGTGTTTGCATGGTGAAATATAAAGCAGGGTTTTTTTTCAAGGCAACTAGGTTAAAAGATTTTAAAAATTAAAAGGCAATCAATAAAAATATACGAGATAGAAAATATAGCTTGAGATTATGTTGAGATTGAAATGCAGTGATTTTTTTTCCCAGTAAAGACAGATGTATTATTTCAATTATCAATCACATATTTATTCTGATTATATGCATGTAAAGTGATGATCTGTGTGCAGATATTTTGGTCAAATGAAATTTAAAAAGGGAAACATATTAAAGGAGCATGTCTGTAACTGGTATATACAGGGCTCTAATTGGCGACTAATTTAGTCGCCATGGCACCTAAAATTTTTGATTGGCGCCTAAACTTTTTCCATAAGTCGCCAAATTGGCGACCATTTTAAATTGAATTGGCGATCGTCAAATTCCGGAAATTTTCACATTTTTAGCAATCTTCTGAAAAAGCGAAAAGAAATTTAAAAGAAGAGGAAATTATTTTCAGCAATGAACATGTCTTCTTTTCTTTGGCACGTCTTAAGTCCCTATATTCTACTAACTTTTAAAGTTGGCGCCTTAGAAAAATTGCCTGGCGACTAAAAATTTGCATTGGCGACTAAAATTTTTTGATAAGGCGCCAGCTGGCACCTAAATTTTAGAGGCCACTTAGAGGCCTGATATATACAGTAAAACTTGGTTATAGTAAATCCACATATAATGAATTCATGCTTACATTGACTTTCCCTGTAGTTTTGAAATATATTACAAACTTAACGGATATAATGAATTTTACAGTATAATAAATCAAACTTGTTTGTCCCTGGCACTTTGCCTGTCTTACTGAATACTGATAAACTGTTTTGTTTGTAGGGTGTAATTGAATTTCTTTAATTACAAGACAGATATGTTTATTGTTATATTTAAATTGTCTTTTTCAGGCAAATAAGATGGGGAACAAATCATCAAGCAAGAAGCTTCCCAAGGAAGACTTGGAATTTTTGTGCTCAAATACAAAATTCACAAAGGCAGAGATTAAAGATTGGTACAGGGGTTTTATGGTAAGAAGTTCACTGCAGTTATAAATGAAAGGAGGCAATGTGTACTTTCAACTTTTAAGTCTATTTTTGAAAGGGATTTATTTTAGTAATATATATATTTTAAACAAATTTTAGTTGAATTTTGCAATCAAAGGATACATATTTTTCCATACTCTTAAAATATGACCTTTTTACTGGATTTTGTTTTTGTATGATTTTGTTTTGTATGTGGTTATCTGCCTGTCTTCGGACAGGCCATATTATGGTATAGCATCTTTGGGAAATGCATGTTGCAACCCAAATAAAAGTAGGTTATTGTGACCTTATTTTAGAATTGTTAACTATATATATAGTCAGATCATGTTTGAATAAGATCTTGCATATTGTAGAGACCATCAAACTTGGTCATTTGATGCATCTTGGGAGAAAGATGTGTATTGATCCAAAACCAGGTCATTGTGCCCTTATTTTGGAATGAATTCTATGGTTATCTATAGCCTATGTTCAAATCATATTTTTCACTCTGTCAAACCATTAATCTTGCATTTATGTAACTTTATTCCAATGTAGTTGGAAATGACAGGGTCACAGTTTTTGTTCATGACTGAAGTTGCATATATAGATATGCATTTTGTAGTTCTGCATGGGCTTGAATACTTGTGATTCACTTACTGTAAATGGAGAAATATTTGTGGGGGATTAAATTTCATTGATATCGTTGTTAACAATTATCAATGAAATTAAATCCCACACGAATATTTGTGCTTCTACAGTATTTTTTTTAGAGTCACCTGAGTCATTCAGGTGACCTATAGCTATCTGTTTTTGTTCTTTGTTGTGTGTTAACATTTGAACATTTTCAGCTTTTTCTCTGAAACCACTGAACCAATTTCAGCTAATTTTGGTTTATGGCATCTATTAAGGGAAACAAAATTTGTGAATTTCATGATCCTGCCCCCAGGGGCCTGATTGGTGGGGCTAAAGCCATCAAAATTGATGCAATCTTAAAAAATCTACTTCTTTACTCCTGGACATCAAACAGTAAAACTGTTGGCATGATTGTGATAAGCATTGAGTCCTTTACCAAAATTGTGAAAATTCATGGCACCTGGGTAAGGGGTTCTGGAGTTAGGATGGGGTTCTATTGATAATATAGTGAAATGCATACTTTCTTTAAAAATCCTCTTCTTTCCTCCTATATATTTACCAAACATACAAAGTGCATGGTTATGTTGAGCAAGGTGTTCATCTGACATTTTGAAATTCAGGTTCAATTTTGACATTATTAGCCAGGGGTGTTGAGATTGCTAAAATTGAATATTGCTTACAATTAATTGTGTACCCGTTGTAATAGCTTCTTTTCTTGGCATTATAAAATGGCTAAAATTACTTCTCCCTAAAAATATATACATACCAATTTTTAAGAATGAATTGCTAAATTTGTGTCTTGCTAAAAATTCCACTTTTACGGTATTTACTTATGATAATTAAAATTACTGTAAATAATGTAATTGATAGGTCAAAATGAATAAAGAATTAAACAAGATTATTTAATGTATAAAACAAAAAGTACTTTCATAGTTTTTTAGTGGTCAGGTAGACTTGTAAATAATATATTTAAAAAATAAGACAAAAATGCATTATTTCCATACAAAGTATACTCTTCAAAGATTAAGTGACGCCAATGTGTGCTAGAGTGTGTAGGGTTTACTAAATGTTCTCAAGCACTTTTGAATTGTTTAGTCTGCATGATGACACTGACAGAAGGGAGTGTATAAGTGATGGCAAGTAAAAATATCTATTTTATGATTTATTACTAAGTACTAGACTAACTATTTTGTTGATCCCTGATTACCCTATTCTTTTGCTTTGAGGCAACATATCTTCATCTCTCAGTTTATTTTGTTTTATTTCATACTTAGTGGATCCTTTACAGTGTTTTATTATCATGTTTGCAAAATTGAGAAATGTTTTACCCATCTCATTATTTCAGAGGGACTGTCCAGATGGATTGTTGTCAAAGTCCAAGTTTTTGGAAGTTTATTCTACATTCTTCCCCACCGGAAATCCAGACAAGTTTTGTAATCATGTATTTAGGTCCTTTGATGGAGACAACAGTGGCAAAATTGACTTTAAGGAATTCTTGCTTGCCATAAACATCACCTCTGGTGGTGACCCAAAGAGCAAACTGAACTGGGCCTTCACTATGTATGATATTGATGGGAATGGTACCATTGAAAAAGATGAAATGGTGGAAATAATTGGGGTAAGTTAAATCAAGTTCCGGGTACCTGTCAATGACAATGAAATTATTCAGTAACATTAAACTGGGTTCCTAGGTTAATTAGGGAATATGTGTCCTCCTTTCTCTTGTACAGAAAAAAAAGTAATAACAGTAATGTTTTTCTGAGTGCCAGAAGTTACGCTACATAGATGAATGATTGCAAGCAAAGGGTTATATTATGACATCGATTGTGGCTTTTTATAACATCATCAATTTTGAAATGAGGTGTTTTATTAATCAATAAGTATGTTTATTACTAGTTGAAACTATTGCAAACAAAGGCCACTGATAGGGCTATAAGTAGGTTAACTAGAGAATGTGACATTTTATGAAGTACAGTGTACCAATATTGTTTGTTTAATATCCATGTTCTGTTGAGTTTGAAGAATTTGTTTTCTTGAGACCTTCATTTGATTGTATGGAATGTCTCAAACATTTGAAACAAGATCAAATTCATGCATAAAAATTTTAGTAAATATTAAGAATATTGTCAACATACTTTAATCATAGGATGAAATTTGACTAGTGCCAAACTTTTTGACCACTGTCTCCTGTTTCAACTCATGACAATTTTGAATTTTGCAGGCAATTTACAATATGCTGGGAAGTGCATTGTGTGGACAAGGAGAAGACACACCAGAAAAAAGGACAGAGAAAATTTTTGAAAAAATGGATGAAAATGGTGATGGACATTTAACAAAACAGGAGTTTATAGAAGGCTGCATGAAAGATCAAGTTCTGTATCAAATGCTAACAGCAGATGCAGCAACCAACCAATAATGATACCCTAAAAGAATTAATTCCATTTCATTCAACATTTCACAAAGAACAATTATCTGCAGCGTGAGAGTTATATACACTGTGGCAATGTGAGAGAATCTTATTGTTCCTAAACAAAGCACCTTCAGTATCAGATTGATTTTTTTTATAAGATGTAAAAAGCAAAAAGAAAAAAAAACATTGGTTATTCTTCGTATGTTTAAAAACCAAACTGATTTTGTATTTTAACTTATCAAATGCAAGCAATGAGGTGTAAAACATTTAATTAATGTCAGAGAAAAAAGCGTAAAATTTGGATTTATTTATATGTATATAGTTTTCACCATTTTTTGGTACTGAATTATTATCACTTGATTCCATAAAATTTGATCATAGAATGTGATATGGTATAATGCTAACTTGTGGCTACCGAACAGTTTGTATTTCATTCCTCCAAGTCATGTTTGTATTCTGAATGCAGAAGTTGGCTACAACAACAATACATAAATATCACTATAACTCTTGAGTGATACTCATAGAATTAGTCGCTGCCCAGTTTATATTGGCTGTCCTTTAGCAAGATAAACAAGATTTGATTGTGTGCCTACAATATTGAAAACAGATGGCACAGTAATGGAATCACCTTATATAATAGTTTCTTTTGTAGAATTTTTCAACTATAAACACCATATATATTGCCTATGTGTAATCAAGATTTTGCATATATTTTAGTTGCAAATATTCAAAAAGCAAAGCAATGTAAGTCCAAAATCTGAGTGCAGCTTCCAGAGCTTGATTAAGAAAGCATTTAATTAGTACATGTATCCTGTTATTTCTGCCCCAACATTTACACCTTTTTCCTAGAAAAACCAGTGAAGCTCATCATAAGTTTTTGGTATTCATTGTTGTGCAAGAATGTTTCATTAAATGCAATTCATTAATTCATTGATTTGCATGCGGCTGCTAGCATAAAGTAATGGATGTATTCTACAAATTATTTATGTTCAATCTTTAATTGTTTACAAACTGATTGTTGTAATCAAGTGAGCTCATATTGTACCTAAACCTCAGCTTCACTTCATAAGTTTACACAATGTGCATCTCGTAGCATATATATTTTCTCCTTAAAAAGTTCAACGAAAATTAGCACCATGATGGGAAGCATTATTTTCAGTTTTAGAATTTGAGTTCATTTGAATAAATCTCCATAAATTCATTTAAGATATGTATTTTTAAATAATGAATTTTGGGAATAACTTGTTTTATGCAAGTGTAGTGATTTAAATAGAAAGGGATTGATATTTTTTGTTTGTGAGTACCAAAGCCCACTATTTCCTTTCAAGGTCTAACCCATTTCTAATTTCAATGAAATTGGAGGATATTTCATTCTTTAAGTTAGAACATAAAATCAAAATGTAAAAATTGAAAATCACAGATCGTAATTAAAACTATATATGTTACCAATAGTTCAGTGTAGTTGCAATTTTTCATTCCATTATATAAAAGAAATATGTTCTGATTCCAGTTTATAACATAGTGTAATTAGTAATTACCTATTATTAACAGTGTCCTATTTTGTTTGCAATTTTTTGTGTTCATTTATTTGATTGTGTTCACTCGATCCTCTCTGAAATACAAATTTGGTGTTCACATTTGTTGTTATAATAACTATGTATTTCTTCTATTATTTTTGTTACTTTTATGCCTATTTTACACTAACTTTATTGCTGGACAATATGCTGATTAGATAATATATTATACGTATTATGTGCAAAGCATTATCATGAAATAAATGTTCGAATAAGAGAAGAATAAGTGAAACATTCGTTATTTTGTTCAATCCAGAGACACTGTTGAAAGAGAGATAACTCAAGAAGATTTTATTTGAAAATTTGATAACGATATCAAAATTAAAAGTATTTTTTTATAAGGAAAGGAAACAGAAGATACTGAATTATGAGACATTATTAAATTAATTCCAAGATAAATTTTTCTTTGATGTAAATCTTTCTACAGGAGATCGACATTAATCATCGAAAAGTTCTTTGTTATGAACGCCTCAAATTGTAGCACAGTTTAAGAGTAATTAATTAATACGAAGAGGAATTGGTCTAATTTTCTTTGTCGTGTGTTCCTTGCTCTTTAAACGGTCTTTAATTTTGCTGAAAGTTTTAAAAAATTGATATCATGCATAGATCTGTATATTATTTTGATTCGGAGTACTGTAGTCCGAAATATCTGACGTTTTCCTGGCTTTTTTTTTTTTACGATTTTGATATTTGACGTGCCAGGAAAACGTCAAATATCAAAATCGTAAAAAAAAAAAAAGCCAGGAAAACATCAGATATTTCGGACTAGGAGTACTGTAGCGCTGAAACAAAAGAATAATGAAACTGTCTTGTGATTGGTATAGACAACTGATCCTCTCTGCTTTGATCGCTGAATAACACTTATGTTGAAAACAATGTCTTAAAGGGAAAAAATGTAATTCTAAATGAAGGAAGAAATGCAATAATTAAATTTAATTTATTTGTCCTCCATGAAACTAGTTTCAAAAAAGGAAAAATTTAGTTTTGATTTAACTATGGAATATTTGAAGTAATTTACAACGGAATGTCAGTAAAGTATGCTGCATGGAAGGGGCAGATTATTTCAAAGGTGTTTTATCATTTGCTTGTCAACAACACCCGTTAAGTCCCAATCACACGATGCAGAAATTTTAAAATGATCCATTGGAGACAGTGAAGTTTTTCGCCAAAGTTTATAACTATATCGAAATAATGGAGGGTTGAGGGGCACTGTCTAGGTAATGGCATTGAATTTCATTGGGGTAAAGGCTGTCCAAGAACACGGACGAAAAAGACGAGCAAAATGCCTATTGTGCGACAAAAATTTCAATTATGAAAAAAAAATTCTTTGATATTTCATTTAACATAAAGTATACTTTAATGTAAAATCTCCACAATTTGCAACAATTTCATAAAGATTGAAATTATTTGTCTCTGAAATAGCCTGCACACACCAACGAGGACAAAAATGATTATTGTTTCATACTTTGACACATTTTTTGACATGAGTGGATCTTTTTACATGTTTTAAATTCTGAAATTAGTGGGTGGCAGTAAATAAAAAATTTACAACATTTCAAGTTGCCACCCGGTAAATTGAAATTTTACTACAGGTAAATTGAAATTTTACTACAGTACGCTATGCTGACTCTAATACAAACATGATAGAAATGCCGACTTTTGTCATGAGCTGTAAAGCTTAGTGGTTAGCGTGTTAGTCTCGAAGGAAAAATTGATACTCGGAATTTTTATTGCTTGGGTTCGAACCCCAGGAATTTAAATCATATAATAGTTTTTGCCGAAAGAATTTTCCACAGAAAAGAATTTCATACCTTTCGATAATAAGAACTTTACTCTAAATAATAAATTTAAAATATTAAATATGATTTTTGTATATTTGAAATTTTAGGCATTTTGCACGCCTTGTTCGCCTTTATGAATTCTCAACATTTAATGTCGAATAAATGATTCCGTGGTGCTTGTAGAATTCGTGAAAATTTTACAAACATTTAAGAAATTTGCTGCTTTAGCTTTCAAAAATGGATATTTCATTTTTTAACACACGTGGTAAAGAATCCGACATAGTGATTTTTATTATTTATTTATTGCTTAAGACATACATCTTATGGCATTTCAACATTTAATACAAAATATTACAAAATGGCATTGTATAGCGGTCCTTATTGATTACAAAAATATAATGCAATATAACAATCATGATTTCATGGAGAATTACCATATGAGAGAATGCATTCTCTCAATTTAAAAGCAAAATGAATATATTTCCCTAAATTACAAAGATCATGGACATTGCGTGTACCTAATAATTGTACAAATTTAAAAACAGATGGTTTTTGCCAGTAATACAATTTGATTTTTTTTTTTACGGAGCTTTTCAAAATATGGACAAATTAAAACAAAATGGTATTCATCCTCTATTTCACTTTTACACATTCTGCACATTCTACTCTCCCTAGGTATTTTATTATGTCGTCCTGACTCAATTTCAAGGTTATGAGATGAAAGCCTAATTCGACTAATTTGCTTTTTGTACATAGAAGGTATGGGCTTACAAAGATAATACTGTAAAGAAAAATTGTCTATTATATGTTTGTAAATGTTACACTTTGATGAATAATTGATTTCTTCCATAAGGTTTTGAACACATATGTCATTCAATCTTTGTTTTATAATTGGGAAAAAAATTCTATAACAAGCTCTATCTTGTTCACACCACATATATCCTAACCCAATTTCATACAATTTTTCTTTAATACAAAAGGCCCAATTTTTCTTACTGTTTTTCATTCTGTCACAGTTATCATATAGTTCATCATAAGTTTTTTATTATACAATTTTCACTAGATAAAACCTTGAACCAGAATTTGAACATTCTATACAGTCGAGTAATCTTCATAGGTAGCCTACCAGTTTCCAAATATACTGAAGCAGAGTTTGTGTTTTTCCTTACGCCTAAAACAGATTTTATAAATTCCAACTGTACTTTTTCTACGTCACTAGCATTATGACTACCCCAAACCTCACAACCATAGTTTAAACTACTTGTTACATAGGTGTCAAAAAGTGACAAAAGGGTTTCTGTATTAAGACACATACTTTTTACTTTTGAATTTAATGCAAACATGGCCTTCCTTCCTTGGTATGCTAGTTGCTTTTGTGTACTGTTGTAATTACCATTGAAATTTAGTAACACACCCAGATAAACAAACTTATCGACAACTTCAATTGGGTGCCCATTAATATTCCATTTTTCTGTTGACTTGATTTTACCTCCGTTTCTAAAAATTACAATTTTTGTTTTTTCTATATTAACAGAGAGATCCCAGTGAGTTGTGTATTCGTATAATATATCTAACATCTTTTGAAGCTCATTTACAGTCTCAGCAAAGATTACTATATCATCAGCATACATTAATACAAATAGATTAAGTTCACGCAAGTGTACAGGAACAATATCATTCTTCAGAAATTCTACCTTCAAAATCATTCACATATAAAGAAAAAAGTATGGGGGATAACACTTCACCTTGTAAAAGACCTATGTGACTTTTAAAAATTTCTGACAATTTACCTGGTGTTTTAACCCTATATTTCATTCTTTCATACATAGCCTGAACAATTTTCAATAATTTACCTCTTATACCTACGTGCTGAGTTTAGTCCACAATTTAAATCGATCAACGGTGTCAAAAGCTTTCTTAAAATCTACAAAAAACAGCAATATAACCTTTCTTTGTTAAATAGGGTCAAATTGATAATTGACGACAAACAAAAAATAGCCTCTGGTGTACCCTTACAGGGCTGAAATCCAAATTGTGCATCTGTAATTATGTTATCTTTATACGACCATAAAATGAGTCGTTGGTTTAAGATAAATGTAAATAACTTACAAAAGCAGCTCACTAGACTAATACCTCTATAGTTATTGGGATCTGACAGATCTCCTTTCTTATGCACTGGCACAATAATAGACTCAGACCATGTATTTGGAAAGATACCAGTTGTAAATATTCTATTAAACAGATTGCGTATGACAGGCAAAATATAATTCTGAAACTCTATAAAATATTTATTCAACAGTAAATCTGGACCATGTGACTTTTCACGTTTTAGTTTCTTAATAGCATCAAGTATTTCCTTTTCAGTAATTTCACTATCAAGCTCATCAAAAACAGTTTGATCATTAAAAGCGAAATTGTTATCTAATATGTCTGGAGATGGAGCTGTCTGTGTTACGGTACCAGTTCCCTAAAATGCTCAACAAAAACTGCAGGATCCACGCCAGATCGACAACCTTTTTTCTTTTGAAAACGCAGATAGAATGCCTTGGGATTGTGTTTACGCAGGTAGTCCACAACATATTTCCCTCTAGCCGTACATATTGTCGCTTCAGTTTTGCGGAGAGTACCTTGTATGCCTTTTTGGAATGTAGGAGTTTCTGGTGCGCCTCAGGCGTTTTCCTATTATTAACTCGAGTGTTACCCATGGCTTATCAATAGGCGTTTTGCTTGAGTAAACATGTTTACTCTGGTCATTTGTGTGTCGGTTATTTAATTCACAAAATGGTGCCATTGCGTCAGAGAGTTGAGATGTCAACAATCCAACAGACAAGTCAATAGATTTGTCACGAACCACATCGGGCACAGTGTTATTCTATACAGTGACGTCACAAGTGCTTAACGTCACAATTCCTATTGCAATGCAACAACCACGTTATCTTTATTGCATTAAGAAACAAAAATGTAATGATAAAAGATGTGAATAATCTAAAGTCATGATAGGATATAGTGGAAAGGGATTTACTATTGAAGTCCCGTCGTGCAGAAGTGCATCTTCTCTTCTCGGTTCCTCCAATATTATCCCTCCTTTGGTAGATCAAAGTCAGTCTGACATTTTGTTAAGGAAGGATATGTTTGTAATTGGTGGAATAGTTGCATTTTGCGGTCTGGCTGGATTTATTGGCTGGAAGTTTGCAAGAATCATGGAAATTACTGTAACTGAATACAAGGATGCAAAAACATCGGGTTACAGGGCTGATTTCAGTGCTCAGCAACACCACTTCCAGCAATGGGCAGAGAAAATGATCGAAGAAGAGACGACATCACCCCAGAGTAATCACCCTGTATCTGCCGTCTCCAAAACGTCTTCCTCTAAATATGTTAATTTTGTTAATGTGCTAGAATGTCCGGGCCTTTATGGAATATTTGGGATGGAAGAGGACGAAGAAATTGT